TAACTTGACAACTTAAGAAAAACAGAGTGGAGTTGTTTTGGGTTAATTGGTACAGTTTAAAACTATGATCAGATCAACTGCACGATCCAAAGAGGTGGGGGTCTTCCAGCTAGTAGAGTTAGGATACTAGGTAGTTTGGAAAGAATGGGGATCCATGATTAATACCAGTGTTGTACATACACAAGATCACAATCAGTAAGGATAAGAGATAAGTGTAGTGGGAGATTACAAGATGATAAGTGCAGTTCGAATAGGCGTCTAACAACAGAAGTGCTAAACATCACAACCAGCAGATGTGTACACATGTACATGGAGATAACCTCCAATACGCCCCCTCAAGCTGCATACATGGAGCTTGACACGAAGAGAGAGAAAACAGTCACCACCAAGAGGCTTAATTAGTTAATATATATGCCGGCAATCTGGTTACCAGATGAGATGAACTGAACGCAAAGCCGATGAATGAGCATTAGATTGCAAAGAAAATGAAAGTCAACTTCAATGTGATGAGTGTGAGCTCAAAATGCCAGATTTGCGGCAAGGTAGTTTGTACTAATGTTATCACACCAGATTGTGGGAGGTTCAGATAGGGAAATGTCGAGCTCAAAGAAGAGAGGTTATCCAAAGCACTTCAGTGGCAATAGTGGTGCATGCACAAACTCAGATTCAGTGCTAGATCGTGCTATTGTAGCTTATTTACGAGAGCTCCAAGCTATTAAGTTCTGACCTAGGTAAACAACATAGCCACCAGTAGACAACTAGCAATCATCCGGACAGCCAACCCAATCTACATTAGTGTACGCATGAATAGAGAAGGAGGATGGCCCCCAAAAGAAATACAACCCATGAGTGACAGTATTTTTGAGATAGCGGAGTATCCGCTTAACCGTAGATCAATGTTCATCAATGGTGACTGTAGGAACTGAGAAGCCTTACTAACAGAAACGAAAATGTCAATACAGATGATGGCAACATAGTGTAGGGCCCCGACAATACTTCTGTACTTAATGGGATCAGAGAGAGGTTGACTACTATATTTGGAGAGTTTAGTATTGATGGCCATGGGAGAGGAGATAGGTTTTGCATTCGTCATGTGAGGGCATTGAAGAAGATCACTGATATAACGCTGATGACTGAGTAGGAGACTACTAAGGAATCGGCCAACCCTAGCCCTCCTCCTCTTACCAAAAACAACTCTAGCCTTCCTGATAAAGAGAGCTCTAGATCTCTTACCAAAGAGAGCTCTAGGTCTCCTACCAAAGAAGGCTCTAGTCTTCCTGCTAAACATGGACTAGCTACTATACAAAGGATTCTTACCAAAGAGAGACCAATCAATGCAAAAAGGAAACTCTCCTCTTAGGAAGTTTCCCATTGAAGCTCCTTCCTTATTTTTCTATTTCTATACTTATAATTATTTCTAAATTATTCTCTAATGCTCTTGTATATATTCAGCTTTGTACATACTCTCAAATTAATGAAATTTGACCCATTCTTTTAAGACCACCTTCTTCATATTGTTTTCTTAACTTGGTATCAGAGCCATGGCTTACAACACCTCCATTGCATCTGAAGCAATAAGCTCAATCTCATCTCCTTCCCAAACCTCTGCTTTACCTAGGAGAATCAACTCAGTTCCCAAAATCTCTCATTACTTGGCAATCAAACTTAATGGTATCAACTTTCTCCTTTGGAAGGACCAATTGCTTCCAGTACTTCAAGCTCACAAGCTGATGGAGCTAATTGATGGATCGAACAAGCCTCCTTTAGAAGAGATACCTGATCCTAATGATAACAATAAGAAAATTCTAAACCTAGAATTCTCTACCTGGGTACAATTAGATCAATTAGTTCTAAGCTGGCTCGTTGCTTCTCTAACTGAAGGAGTCCTATCACAAGTTATTGGACTTTCCATAGCTGCCAAAGTCTGGAGTGCTCTTGAAAGGTCATTCTCTTATCATTCTCGATCCAGGGTACTAAAATCTCTTCAACAATGGTTATATTTAGAAAGCCAAGACTATTGCAGATAATCTTTTCACAGCTTTAGAACCAATAGCAAAAGAAGATATGGTTCTATATATTTTGTTCGGTTTGGGAAGTGAGTATGAATCCCTCATTACAACCATCACCAATCAAACTGATGCAAATCAACTCAACATTAGTGATGATCTTGGGTTACTTTTGAGTCATGAAGCCTGGCTTTTATAACATAATTTTTCTAGTGAGAATCCTAATGCGAATGTTGCTGTGAATAATAAAAATGTGACTAACAATTTTCAGTCCTCTTAGAACTCCTATAATCAAAATAGGGGTGGCGACAACCATGGCAGAGGCAGGGGGCATGGTGGTCAGCCCTCAGGCCACAGAAAATGCCGTGGAAAAGGAAATAGCATTATCTGTCAACTTTGTAACAAACCAACGGTTCGATCTTTCATATCAAGGAGAGAGCAGTTTGCATCCAGCAGATCCTATAGCTTTTCACGGCGGTGTCTCTCATAACGGTTCTACGTCTGGGTCAGGGTTTGATCTAATCTGGTATCCGGACAGTGGCACCACTCATCATATGACACCGGATGCTGATAATTTACAAGTTCGAACTGAATACCAAGGTTCTGATCAAGTCAAGATTGGTAATGGAACATATTTGACTATAAATAGTACAGGGTCAACTTCTCTAGTTAGCAATCATAATCAGTTTGCTTTGAAGAATATTTTTCATGTTCCTTCTCTTACTAAGAATTTGCTCTCTATAAGTAAATTTACCAAGGATAATAATTTGATCTTTGAATTGCATCCAATTTCTTTGTCTTGAAGGATCGTACGGGGAGAGTTTTACTCTGAGGACCCAGTAGAGACAGACTTTATCAGTTTTCTGGAGCAGTTCAGCACAAGATAGAGAACTCGATAGCTTTTGTAGGCGAAAAAACCTCCTTGGTAGAATGGCATCAATGACTTGGTCATGCTTCTCTAAGAGTTGTGAAATATTATTTTTAAGTTTGGTTTACCTTATTCTAGATCTCTTAATTGCTCTTTTGTGTGTGAAGCTTGTCAGTTGGGAAAAGCCCATCGTTTAAATATAGCATCTTCGAATACAACTTTTTCTTCTCCTCTTGAGTTAGTATTTTCTAATGTGTGGGGACCTGTCCCTATTTTGTCCAATAAAGGTTTTCGTTATTATGTCTTATTTATGGATGCATATTCAAAATTTTCTTGGATTTTTCCACTTGAGAGGAAGTCGAATATGTTTAACACCTTTCTTAAATTTTAGAATCATGTTGAGACTCTCTTTTCTACAAAAATTAAGATGTTCCAGAGTGATTGGGGTGGTGAATTTTGCTCTCTTTCTTGCTACCTTGATGATGCCAGTATCACTCACCGTCTTAATTGCCCCCATACGCATGAGCAGAATGGTAATGCTGAACGCAAACATCGGCACATTATTAAGTCTACATTGTCTCTACTGGCGTCCTCCTCTCTCCCCTAGTCCTTCTGGGCCAATGCTACTGAAAGCCTGAAACTGCAGTCTTCTTTATCAACCGACTACTGACTCCGGATCTTGGTAATCTGTCTCCTTATTAGAAGCTATTTGGAAAACCTCTTGATTACTCTATGTTAAAGGTGTTTGGTTGCAAGTGTTATCCTCTACTTCGTCCTTATAATTCTCACAAGATGGATTTTCGGTCTGCTCCTTGTATATTTATTAGCTACAGCAACAGTCACAAAGGGTACCATTGTTACAACCCCGCTACCGACAAAGAAATCATTGCTCGCCATGTTGTGTTTTATGAACATTCCTTTCCTAGAATGGTACCTTCGTTGCCACCCTCCAGCTCTGCTACTCCTACTGGTGTTACTCTCTCTTCCCTAGGTCTCATTAATGCTGACACGTGTCTAGCTTCTGTTGATCCTACTCTTGAGGTATCCCCTTCTTCTTTGCCATCTATATCTATTACTAATGAGGAATCTGCTACTTCTTCCTCTAAACCAGAATAGGCAGTTTCCACCAGCACTGATGTATTACCAGTTTTGCATACCAGACCTATTCAGGAACTGCTCGACACCACTCCTGTTGTAGGACCTCCTGTGTGCACCCGTTCCATGGCAACAAGGTCTATGACCTCTAGATCAGCACAAGCTTTATCTGCTACTTGCCATCCTCTTCCATTTGCTCTACTTCATGATTTGCTTCTCATGAAGAGGAGCCTTCTTCTTACAAACAAGCTGCTAAGTCCCCTCATTGGCACTCTACCATGGTTGTTGAATTCCACACATTGATTCAAAATGGTACTTGGGAGCAGGTTCCCTATGATACTTCTATGAATGTAGTTGGATCTAAGTGGGTGTTTAAAATCAAATGGCACCCTGATGGTTCAATTGACCGCTACAAGGCTCGCCTTGTTGCACAAGGCTTTACTCAGGTTACAGGGGTTGACTTCATTGAGACCTTCAGTCTTGTGGTTAAACCTTCAACTGTGTGTACGGTTATTTCACTTGCAGCTTATCGTGGATGGGGCATTCGCCAGTTGGACATCCATAATTCCTTCCTTAATGGTTTTATCTTTGAAACCATTTATGTGCGTTAACCAAAGGGTTTTGAGGATAGCAATTATTCTCATCATGTTTGCAAACTTGACAAAGCCCTCTATGGACTCAAACAAGCTCCCCGGGCTTGGTTCTCTCATTTGAGCAACTGCTTATTTGACCTTGGTTTTCGTGGTTCACAGTGTGACCCCTCTTTGTTCATCTACAGTCAGGAGTAGATTATCATTTACATTCTTGTTTACGTTGATGATATTATTATTAATGGTTCTTCTCCTGCTCATATTTCTCAACTTATTAGTAGTTTATCTCGGACGTTTGCACTAAAGGATTTGGGGTCATTGTATTTTCTTTGTGTTGATTCTTACCGTGACACCACAGGGTTATTTCTCTCTCAGCGTAAGTACATCTTGGATCTCTTGCTGAAGACTAAAATTTTTGTGGCCAAACCGATCTCTAGCCCAATGGCTACCTATTCACGCCTCTCACGGTTTGATGGCGAACCCTTATCTAATCCTACTCAGTACCGGAGCATTGTAGGTGCTCTTCAATATGTTACTCTCACCAGGCTAGATGTTGCTTTTGCAGTAAATAAAGTTTGCCAATTCTTACATGCACCTACTGAAGAGCATTGGGGCGCAGTTAAGCGTATCCTGCGGTACCTCAAAGGTACCATTAACACTGGATTATTTTTCTCAGCACACATGTCCGACAACTTGACTGCATACTCCAATACTAATTGGACCAGATGCCCGGATGACAAACGGTCTACTAGCAGATATGGCATTTTTCTTGGCTCTCACTTGATCTCGTGGAGTGCTAAGAAACAACCTACTATTGCTCGATTAAGCACCAGAGCTGAATTTCGAGCCCTAGCTAAGGCCACCACGAAACTCTTGTGGCTAAACTCTCTACTTTCTGATTTGGGGGTCAAGATCCGATCGCCACCGATGTTATACTGCGATAATATTGGGGCCACATACCTTGCAGCTCATCCCATTTTTCATGCTCGCACTAAACACATTGAGGTCGATTTTAATTTTCTTCAGGATTTTATTGTTAAGAAGTCTCTAGTGGTACAGTTTCTTCCCACTTAGGACAAGGTTGCTGATATTTTCACTAAGCTGCTCTCCTCTCACTGGTTTGAGTGGCTTCGGTCTAAGCTTCGTGTGCTTGCAGCTCACTTTCGCTTGAGGGGCGTATTGAGGAGCCGGCCAACCCTAGCCCTCCTCCTCTTAACAACAACAACTCTAGCCTTCCTACTAAAGAGAGCTCTAGATCTCTTTCCAAAGAGAGCTCTAGGTCTCCTATCAAAGAAGGTTCTAGTCTTCCTACTAAAGATGGATCAGCTACTATACAAAGGATTCTTACCAAAGAGAAACCAATCTAGGCAAAAAGGAAACTCTCCTCTTAGGAAGTTTCTCATTGAAGCTCCTTCCTTATTTTTCTATTTCTATACTTTTAATTATTTCTAAATTATTCTCTATTGTTCTTGTATATATTCAGCTTTGTACATACTCTCAAATTAATGAAATTCGACCCATTCTTTTAAGACCACCTTCTTCATATTGTTTTCTTAACTAAGACCATGAGAATGACAGGTCAACTCAATTCCCAAGAAGAAATGAGCAAGATTGAGGTCCTTTAATGAAGGTATGTGAGATCTCCTCAATATAGTTCTCAATTAGCTGACTCTGAGTTGCCAATCATCAAAACATCATCAACATAAACCAGTAGAAAGAGTGACAGTGGCAGAGGAATAAACAAGATGTGTCAACCCTAGATGTTCAAAAACCCATGGCGAGCAACTGGTTTGTGAAATGAGAATACCAAGCACGTGGGGCTTGGTGAAGTCCATATAATGTTTTGTGTAGTTTGCATACATGATTAGGCTTAGAGGGGTCTTCAAAAATATCCTCATGAAGCACACCATTGAGAAAGTTATTATCGAAATCAATATGATGAATAGACCACCATTGAGATACGGCCAAGGACATACTGGTATGAATCATGATGGGTTTTAAAATAAGGAATGCCAAATGTAGCCTAAAAGTCTAACACTTTCTAACTTTTAAACGTTCTGTGGTTTTTTATTCCTAGCAACCAATGACACATTTACCTTGTTCTTGATTTGAATCACATTTTATGCATAATACAAGTGGGGACCCGTGCATCGGATTTGTTAAGCGAAAGCTAAATAATAGAAACACATAAGAGTATACAATTGTTTTCTATTTTTAACATTTTTAATGATTAATAATTATTTATATTTTATACACTACTTTTAATAAGTATTTTTACAACACAAAAATAACAATAATTAATTTCACCTATGGTTGTTCATCAAATTGATGAAATCGACCAACCCGACCAAGTTGGATTAGTTTCGCTTTGGCCATTTATAAACCAACCAAAATCAAACGACCTGACCATATATATAATTTATGATATTTAACTTTTAAAATTACTTTTTAATAATGTGTAATTTTTAATTTAAATTTAATTTTTTAAGTTTAAATCTTTTGAACGATCAACCAAACAGAAAATCGACCCAAGCCAATACAACCCGAGTTGGCCAATTTTCACTAATGGCCAGTTGGTTTCGGGAGACCAACTCCCCAACCTGACTAGGTCAATTTGGTTGGCCAAACATCCTACAACCGAATCAAACCAACTCGTGAACACTCCTAATTTCAAATAAATTAATAGTATAATCTCTAATAAATAACAATAGTTTAATCTCCAATAAGTATTAAAATTTATAGCGAAAATACACAATTATTGAAAATATGTTGATAATGAAAATACAATAAATAACTAATAAAAATACAATAAATACAAAAGTTACAAAAATACAATAAATACTAAAAAATTCTGTAATCTCAAATAATAGTTTAATCTCTAATAAATATTACTCAAAAAATTATAACAAAATACAATAAATAGAATAATTACAATAAGATAAATTTAAAATGTTAAATAATAGTAGTTTAATCTCTGATAATTATTGAAAATTTTCTGTTAAACAACAAAACAAAAGTAGATTTATATATAATTATTGATATATTTATCAAAAAAGCCATAATTAACTACTAAAAATACAATAAATATTAATTTTAGTATATATAAATATATAATAAGTATAGATTAAGATTTTAGCATTATTATTCATAAATATTTTTTTTAAATTTGCTTTCTAGAATTATTAATTGATAAAAGTGAAATTTGTTATTTACTATATTATTTAGTTATTTAAATAATATCATTATTTCAGTTTAAAATATTAATTATTTATTGAATTTAATAATATATCCATAAAATTGTAATTTGAGTATTATGTTATAATTATTTTTCTACTTTTAAGAAATTTTTAAATTTTTTACATATTTTCGTTATTTTAACTATTTAAAATCTAGTTATTAAGATATTTAGTTATTGAAATATTTGAATAATATTTTATTTTTATTATTTGAATAACATTTAAATTGATTAATTCAAAAAAATCATAAAATCATAATTTATATTGTTATTACATAATTTCGTGATGAGTTTTGTGAAAATATAAAATTATTAATAATATGAATATTATTAAATTTAGGGTAAATTTCTTAAACTACCCTTATGGTTTAGCTAATTGACTAATTGTACCCATACTGTTTGAAAATCGACTTATGCTACCCCTACTGTTTCTGACAGTTGACTAATACTTCCCTTACCGTTAACGTCAATTAACAGAAAGGCAAAAAAGCTATTTTACCCTTTATTCTTCTTCAAATTTTCAAAATAAAACAGAGAAAAGGGGGGAAGAAACACTGAACTCAGTGAATCCAGCACTTCCCTATCATTTTTGCACCTAAAAACCCCTTTCCTCAGTTACTGTGACACTAGGTTCTGCTATGCTTGTTGAATCTGAAAGAGAAAAAGAAAGAGAGAGAGAGAGAGAGGCTGCAGTCTACAGCTCTGCAGTACTATGGAAAAGACATGTCACCTTCATTTCCCCGACACCAAATTCTTTGTCTACTTCACAAAAGTCAGGCTTCTTGTCTAAGCACTATGTTCAGACTGCCGGATATGATGCTTGGTTGTCCTACTCATATCCTCTATTCCAGGAAAAAGATACATGACCAAGAAGATTATAGAAAGAAAAATCTTCTCCCTATACATTTAGTCATTATTAATTTTATATTTAGGCTGCGTTTGAAAACGATGCAACTAGACTGTAAATCCTCCATCAGGGTAAATTTGTATTCTGGTTCACTTTTGCTTGAGTTTGACAATATTACATTTATGCATTGACAAATGATGGACCAATGCATATTTACATTGATAATAAGATGTAAAAATACATCAATAAAAGGAAGTAAATTTGCATTCAAGTGGGCTTTTGATAAAAAAAAAAGATGTATATGCTTTATTGAAATTCATGTTTGCATCCATTACAGCTAAAAAGTTTGTTTGATAAGAAGGTAAATTTGTCAATGCAAAACTAACCAAACTTTACAATTTATATGAACCATTTTACACTCTATATATTTGCATTCACACTTATCTGCTCCAAAGGCAGCCTTAATGACTTCAGCTTCAAATGAGTGGGTCATACTTACAATTATCCTATCTAGCTTGCCCCTGCTACAAGAAAAAAGAGCAGCACCATATGAACTTGATTTCTAGTAGTGATTCTGAATCCTGCAATCTCAAGAACAATGTATCAGATTGTCTCAACTTCTTGTATTCTTAAACTGGTTAACTGACCCAACTGCGATTCTTTGGGTGTGTCAATCATTTTAGAATTCTAACTATGACTTGTCTTGTTGAAATCAATAAATATGGGGGAATGTCTCCCTATTGAAACGCAATTAAAATTGTCAAGAACAATTAATAAATTATTAAGAGAATTAATAACTTAAATTTATTATTCTGAAGAATCTATAGCCTAGGAGCAAGGAGAAATTTCCCCAATCATTTGTAAGCTTAAGAAGTTCTATAAGAATGGTTAGAAGATTTCTAATAGTTATAGTGCTACCTACAATCAAAATCTTAGGCATGTGAAACGGGAATTTCGGGTATCAAAAAAATTGGGAGCATAACTCTAAATTTTCGGAGCTGCTTTTTAGAAGTATTTTCCCAATATAATCAAATTTGGATTGAGTAAATTATTTCTCCCTTGAAGTAGGTTTCAAAACACACCACACCATACAACCCACTATTTCGTGGTGTCGACTAAAATATTGGCGCCCACACCATTATCTCATGGTCACAACCACATGATACACGGCCCTCTCCCTATCCAGTACTTATACTTCGCATGTATATTAACTTATACAATATTTTTTTATTATTTGTCTTATATCTAATTAATAATATTTGCCTTACCATTACAATTCTTATTAATTGGTATTAAAAGTAGGAATTTTACTTTTTTATGTTTTTACTAATTTTAGATTAAGTTTTTATTAATTGTTTATTATGAATATTAGCTCTCTTATGGGAAGTGTTTTATATTTTTATATTACTTTTAGTTTTTTAGTCATTATTAAATTTTTGAATTCATCTGCTAATTTTTTATTAATTCATATTAGCTATGGTTAAATTGATCACATGTTAAATTTATTTGTAATTTACTTAAAAAGACATACAAAAATTATTACTCTTGATTGACATCGTAGATATTGTTTATCCAAGATACATAGAATTAAAACACAACTTGCAGTAGAGGTGTAAATCGGGTCATACTGCTTGCAGCTTGGCACGGCCAGGCCCGATGGTCATTGACTGTGTCACGGCCCAATACAATTGTATGGGCTGTGCCGGGCTTGGGGTTTTAGGTCTATAGGCCAGGCCGACACGGCCCAGCACGACTCATATATTTATATATATTATATATATAATAATATATAGTATATAATATATTAATAAAATAAATAATTGTTTTCAATTTTATTATACTATTTTATTTAATTATTGTATATATAAACAATTGTATACATCAATATTCATATAAAGTAAAAATTTTAAGATTCTTTTCAATTTTTTAAAATAAATAGCTTTAGCTTGGTCCATGGCCTGATAGGGCCTAAGGCTTAGCCCACGAACCAGC